TGGTTAAAAATCAGCCCCAGAATTCCTATGGAAACAGAAAAAAGGTTTTTGTGTGTGTTTTTGTGTGAGTTGTGTGTGTGTGTGTGTGTGTGTGTGTGTGTTGGGGGGTATTTGGGCTAAAGGCCAGCAGCCCCTTAATTCTCTGTAAATTACAGGTTCTCCAAATCCCTCCCTGGCCATCAGAGGCTCTGTTGGTAGTAATTTATGTGTGTTGCATCCTTTGTGTAGCAGTTAAAGCAGTGTTTCTTCAGCTGGGAAACTGGAAGTCTTTGGGTAGACTTCAAGACCCAGAATTCCCCGAAGCCAACACTGGGAATTCTGGGAGTTGAAGCCCACAAGTCTTCAAGCATCCTGGCTGGGGGATTCTGGGAGTCACAAGTCTCTATCCTCCTGAAGTTAATCAAGTTGAGAAACGCTGGCCAGGAGCCCATCGTAACTCCCCTTAGTACATTGCATACCTCATTTGCATGATTACTTGCCGTTCTTAATTCGCCTCATTTGCATGATGATGTCAGGGGATGGTGTGTCACTGCTTCTCGCCCCTGGGGCAGGCCCCTCCCTCAAGGAGTCCACCCTCCCGTGCCCAGGAAAAGGCATTTGGAGGAGGAAGAAGGGGGGAGGAAAGCGAGTTGGAAGAAAGGAGGGAGAAGGCAGGCAGCAGGCACAAGCTTGGCCAAGTCTTTCTCCTTCTTTCTGTCTGTCTGTCTGTCTGTCTTTCTTTCTTTCTCTCTCTCTCTCTCTCTCACACACACACATTTTATTTTTCTCTCCTTCCCTCCTTGCTTCCTTCCTCCTTTCTCTTTTTCTTTCTTTCTTTCTTCTTTCTTTCTCTCTCACTCATACACACACGCTTTCTCTCCTTCCCTCCTTGCTTCCTTCTTCCTTCCTTCCTTCCTTCCTTCCTTCCTTCCTTTCTTTCTTTCTTTCTTTCTTTCTTTCTCTCTCTCTCACACACACGCTTTCTCTCCTTCCCTCCTTGCTTCCTTCCTCCTTTCTCTTTTTCTTTCTTTCTTTCTTTCTTCTTTCTTTCTCTCTCCCTTATACACACACTTTTTCTGTCATTCCCTCCTTGCTTCCTTCCTCCTCTTTCTTTCTTCTTTCTTTCTTTCTTTCTTTCTTTCTTTCTTTCTTTCTTTCTTTCTTTC